ACCCTACACTGCCAACTCATACTGGCACTCCTTCCAAGAACAGAAGCAAAGGGACACAGGGAACCACTTTAATGCTACTGCCATTGGTAACACAACAGAATAAAGCCTTTATATGTGGGAAGCACATTTACATATTTCATAAGGAATACATGCAGAAATCCTGCGTCTTCAGACCCAACTAGCCTCAACATTCTTGTTTACATTTCTTACTCAGAACAAAATGCATTCTCCAAGCCCACTATAGCATATGGAAACCACCACAGAAATCCTCTTTTTTTTCTGAGATAAGAGGGTTGATAGAAATAAACCGCAAAATAATGTAGCTTTGAAAGGAGAAGCCCAGGAAGAGGGAAGGAGGACATATTTTATCCGTATCTGCTGGCCTGGAAAATAAATACTGCTGTTGTGCAACTCTGCAGCTGCTCACTCTCAATTTGTTGTTTTCATTCTGGTTTTTATGATTTAATCTCATATCCTTGCAGTTAATCTGAAAAGGGTTCAGGCAGCTTTATTCATTAGTCTTGCTTCAAATCGTGATCTTACAGATCATGATCTTTACAGATACCAAGAACCAATTCTCTTTTTGTGACATGGTTTACCCTCCGATAGATGCAGCAAGAATAAGTTGACTTTCTTTTTTTCATTGAATCTCATGAAATATATCCTTGGGAAAGTTTTTCTTACACTAATATAATGCATGACAAATATATATTTGTAAAACTGAAGTTATCGTTTTCAAATTTTGAAAAACATTTTGGATTCATACAATACCACTAGGGAAAATAATAATAATTTTAAAAAACCAAATTCTTATCTTCCTGAACTACATAACATCATTTCAGTTACATATTAATAGTTATGTCATCATAACCTTACTTTTGGAAGATGCATGAGTCGTTTCCTACTTTAAGAGAGCTAAGTGTATAGAAAAAAGGTTTGTGAAGCAACACTTCTGGAAGAATGTCAAAAATATTTACAATTTAAAACACTGAATTCATACATGGAAAACTACTAAAATGGATTTACAGTGAATCCTGCTAAAAGCAAGAGAAATAATTATTTAACGAGTCAAGCATGGCAACACTACCTAAAGATCTAATAATTCAGGCAAACAGAATGACATGTAAAAAAGCTTTGTATCAGCATTAAGGTTCCCTGATTCCCAGATTTTAGTACTAGGATATTGTACACATTTTAATAGGATGTCGTAAACATTTGCTTTGGCTTGGGTTTTGGAATGAAGAAACCAACCATTTCACAAGCTGATTGCCTGCTGCAAAATTATATCTGCTCAAATAATTTTGCTGCTGGAGAGAAAACACAATGTATTGAATGATGAGTAGTGTAGGTCTTGGGAACAATAGACTACATGAAATTTTTTGATGAAAATAAAATAAAATGAGACCTTTTTGCAAAATCCAGAATTACATGAAATTGAATACTACAAATCAAAGAACTGCAGCCATAAATCTAGCATCTGTGCAAAGCAGACCTCAGAATGGACCTTATGAGTCTATGGATTACTTAGAATAATATTTTGCATGTCTTTGATTCACATCACTTGGTAGTTTTCGGGGAATGTAGCATTACACTGTATCAGCATCCGTATTCTGCACAAAAGGTTAAGTCTGTGAAAAGCACTATGTATGGCTACAGTTCAACTGTGCTTAACATCAAACCTCCGTGTGATGTATACTCTGCCAGTCTCACCTCAAACAATGTCAAATATACCATGGCCAATTACTGAATCCTAAGGTGTGCCTGCTGCCTCTGCCTTTATCCATGGGTTCACTACGTACAAAGCAGCAAAAGCACTTTAGCACAGATTGTAAATATTACAGTAAAGACTTTAAACTGAAAGATGGTAGACTTAGGTTAGATATAAGGCAGAAAATCTTTACTGTGAGGATGGTGAGGCACTAGAACTGGTTGCCAATAGAAGTTGTGGATGCCCCATCCTTGGAAGTGGTCAAGGCCAGGCTGGATGGGGTTATGGGCAACCTGGTCTAGTGAAAGGTGCCCCTGTCCATGGCAGGTGGGGTGGACCTATACAATCTTTAATGTCCCTTTCAATGCAAGACATTCTATGATTCTATTCTATAAACTGCTGATTGTAAGTACAACTTGCTCCTGGACATTTAATTACATTTTATTTTTTTATGTAATAGACACAATATGAGAAAAATGTCCTTGAAGAATGTGCAATCCAAAATCATCCCAGACTTCTTTAAGGCAATAAATTTCAGATCACTCAAAGAAAATCCATAATCAATTACCTACCTGTCTGTCTAAACAGTTTGGAATCTATCAATTGCAAATGGGACTGTTGTATACATCAAGGGAACAGAATACTAGCCTAATGATTAAAACAATAATAAGCAGCACATATATGGGTTTATAAATTTTAATACTGAAATTATATCAAATTATTATATATATATGCTATGCATTACTGTGGTATAAAGAGAATAATATGCTATCTTCTGCTCTTACAAGCAGCTGTATGTAACAAAATTGTGCCATGGTTTAAGTCCTAGCCCCATGCAGCCACTTGCTTACTCCCTCCCAGCGAGATGGAGGAGAGAATTGGAAGGATAGAAGGTAGAAAACTCATGGAGTGAGATAAAGACAGTTTAACAGGTAAAGTAAAAGCCACACACACAAGCAAAGAAAAACAAGGAATTAATTTGCTGCTTCCCATGGGCAGACAGGTGTTCAGCCACCCCCAAGAGAGCAGGGCCCCATCACATGCAATGGTTACTTGGGAAGACAAACACCATCACTACAAACATCCCCCCTTCCTTCTTATTCCCTCCATTTTATTTACTGAGCATGATGTTTATGGAAAATTCCTTTGGTCAATTTGGGTCACCTGTCCCAGCTGTGTCTCCTCCCAACCTCACATGCACCCCAATTTCCAACTGCCAGTGTGGCAGTACAAAAAGCAGAAGAGGCCTTGGCTCTGTGTAAGCACTGCTCAGCAATAACAGAAACATATCATCAACCCTGTGTTCAGCACAAATCCAAAACACAGCCCCATACCACCAGTTTCCTGTGAAGAAAATTAACTCTACCCCAGCCAAAATCAGCACAAATAGTCTTTCAGTATTATTGAGAACAGCATACAGAGATCCAAACTTAAGCCTTATCCCCATCTTTGAATTTTGGGATAGCCTCTCTCAGAGACATTGATGTTCTCTTCTAAAAACCCATTTGACCAGTAAGATGTTCACTGGGCATCATGGTGGAATCTTTTTCATTATCTCCAGAAAAAGAAAAAAAAAAGACTTTATGTAAGGAACATTAGGGAAAAAAATATTCAGCAGACTCTCTATCCTTCAGTAGCATGTAATATATATCAGATTCTAAGCACACTTGAATATGTTAATTAGGGAACATCAGTATTATTATCCAAATAAAACAGGAAGAGGATAATGACTGAAAAAACGATCTGGACTTAAACAATATGTTGAGTAGAAGTGATCACAATCAGCAGAATAGTTCTGATTTCAGGCATAAAGTCCACATTCTTCCTCTTGGCAATTATTACTTTATACTGTCCTGTTTATCATAAAACTCTACTTCGGGTAAATGCATCTTGCATATATGAATTTTTTACTCATATATCCCTGTCTCACTCTGTAATTCTGCATGCATAATATAAAAACATTTTTAGAGTTAAATTGTTGCTGAGAACAAGAGCAAGAGTTTTTTATCATCACATTATTAACACAAGAGAATCTGTCTCTCCCTCCTGCTCCTTACCATCAAGTTAGGGTGCCAGCTGTACCTCTCAGAGACTACACCTATAACTGAGGAGCACTCAGAGCCACCACCTACTGAACCCATCAGCTGAAACCAGAGCAAAGGGCAGCAAGCAGAAAAAGTTAAACAAAAAAGATTAGACTAATTACATTCAATTTGTTTCCATATAAGACCAAAAGTAGGAAATAAAATATGGTGGAATACAAGAGGTGAGGAAAAGGGAAAACTATTTTAATTATATTCGCTGTAAAAGATATCTGTCTAACTTGTTTCAAGCTGGCAGAATAAATACTGTAATGAGGTCATAGCTGGGCAGCAGAGGAATGCTGCCAGATTACACTGCTCTGGAGGCCAAATTCCAAGGCAGCTGGAGGTCTCCCTCTCATGCGCACGTGAGGGTATCATTTGTATGGAAACACGTGAGCAAGCTTGCTCTCTTCTTTTGCTTCTCACCATATTTAAAGATCTATTACAGTCCTGTTTAAGAAGAAACTAAATTTATTCAATGAAACAACTTTTACTTTTATGTTCCAGTAAAATGTAGCTGCAGAGGTTGAGAGCCTTCTGGTGCCTTTTGGTACAATCACTTCAAGAAAAAGGGAGGGAATTCCACCTCCAGCCTCTGGTTAAAGCAGATCTTACTACATTAGTGCCAATAGAGTCACAGTTTCAACCAATGCCAAGTAGCATTAACACAAACAAGTGAAGAAAAAAACTTTCATACTAACGATAGTAACTAAAAGCAAGGGACTAAAAAACCATGAAGAGGCTCAGGTCATCACACAAAGATTTCACCATCTTCAATACTGTTTATTGCAAGTACAACCAGATATTTTAATTCAGTAGTCTGAACGGACACCATCTTCCACTAACCTGCCTTTTTGAGTTCTATTTTGAATTATTACAGGTTTTTTGCTATAAAGTTAGTGACCACAAAAGAAATATGGTAACATAGCACAATGACTATGATTTGACAAAGTTGCAAGCACCTGGACAAGCTCTGTCACGCTGCAACTATGTTCCATGGGTTTTTTTCAATAAGAAGGAATGAATACCACACATTGGCTATGACCATCTGAAACCAACAAAAGACTCTCAACTGTTGCTTCAAAATGCCCAGTATGTATTTTTAGAGGCTACAGAATAAAAATAAGATAAAAGTTTAAAAGATAAAATAAAATTTGTAGCATAAATTCAGGAGATCTTATAAGGGTAATCATTAAATACTTTCTTACCTGTCTGATGTTGTGTCACTTGTTACTTGATGCTTTACTCCTGAACCATTCTTAATTGAGTCTTGTCTTGTGAGCCCTTGAGATCTGTTTTTGTCCAAAGCTTGTGTGGATATGTCACCTGGTGGTCCTTGGTACTGAGGATGCTCCTGCAGCTTTGCTTTTTTCTCTTGAGGTGCTTCCTCGTTCCGCAGAGCTCTAATTCCTTCTTGGTCAGGCTGCTGTGGTGCATGTGATCCACTGTTATAGAACCAGGCTCCTGATTTTGTGAGGATTTCTTGTTGTTTTCGGCACAAGTTACATACCCACATTACCTGTTCAGACATTTAAATGTAAAATCTGTTAGCTTGTAAACACTGTATACAACATCTTCATCAAGCACACATCAACCGATTGTTGCCATTTCCAAAGGTAGAAAGAATACAGTTTTAATTCTTTCTATTAAAATTACAATAGCTTAGCTACAACATTATAAAATATGTCTGTACAACCTTGGAGGAAATTGTTTTAGAAAAATTACAAGCAAAAATAATTTTAGTCTTTTCTTGTTTCATTATTTGAAACACAAGGAAAAACCACAGATAGAAGCAATATAAACGAAAAGGTTCTACATCTTGACATTCCAATGGCAACATGTAAGTTCTAAAAAATTAAGACTATAGTTCGAGGATGATAGAAAAAATGAATTAAGAAATCATTAAGCTTTTAATCCATTCTCTCACTGAGTAAGGAACTTTGGAATAGATCCTCTACTATTGCAAACAAGTAATTTTATAATTCTCCAAAATGCTCACTGATTTACTTCCACTGACAGCACCAATTATCTGTAAGTCAATTTCATATTCAGTTATTATGTTATATGAGAATAAATCAGGATGTAGTGAATCAAATACAACACACCAGTCATGAACACAATGGTACATTCAAACTGATTATTGCGTTATCTTAAAATTTTGATTGTAGATAGCATTATTTCACTGCAACTTTAATCCTTCACTCCTTAATCTTCATTTTTCTTTAGCCTTAGTTTAGCTTTCTTTTTCTTTTATTTTTATTCTTCTTTTTCTGCTCCTTAAATATCTTTGTCTAAGTTCATAGACAAAATGGTACCATTTTTACTACATGTTCCTTGAATGTCTACACTCAACCTTCAATGTAGTTATAATGTCTCTAGTTCTAATCCTACACTAAGATGCTTCTTTTTCAAGGGTGTACAGTTCAGGAAATTCAAGGGTTTACATTAATGTTCTTCATTATTCTTTTAAATGTAGCTGGTTCCATGGTTGAATAACATGGAAGATGTAGTTTCTACCTCCCTAATACATCTAGCTCAGTCCACCAGAAAAGGTTTCAGAAGCCTCAATCTGTGTCTTATTCTCCAGGTTGTTTTCTAGTAGAAAATTTCAGCCGTGCTCTCTAGTCAAACTTCACAAAAAATGTTTCGATGAGAGCTTCATGTAGAGGGCTACCTGGATGCAAGATTCATACTCAAGTTAAACTCACTGACTCCTTCATTCACAAACTGTCAGGCTGGGGTAGGAAAAGGAGGCATCCCTTGCCCATTTAATGGTGGTGATATGCCCCATCCTGGTACACTACCTAATCCTTGTATAGGGCTGATACCATCTATGAGAACTCATGCCTGCTTGCATCAACAAGACAGAATAAATCATCAAAGCACTGAGGGTAAAAAAGAGAGAGACTCCCTAAGTAGCAGCTTGCTCCCTGAGGTAGGTTAGATATCCTTAGATGACATTCAAAGGTCAAAACTGTGTATTCTTCAGGCCTGGCCACCATTAAAATACAAATTCAAGAACAGGCCTGTTTTACCATTACTAGTTAAGTTAGAAAGTACATGAAAACGCCAACATGAAAGTTCAGCACCCAAGACAGAAGTATTTTTGCCCTCTTTTATTAATAGCAATTAAAAGGCTTCAGTATTTCTGCTTGGTTTGTATACAGCTGAAAGAAGTTCTAAACTTTCCACGTATGTGTCAGTACAATAAAAAAACCGGATCTAAAACAATTGTTGAAGTATACAAATATGTAACAACTTTAATGACAATGAGATAAAATCCCCAACATTTTTTCATGTGCTATTTCTATTAGTAGATGTCATAATATCACAAAACTAGATATTATAGTCAAAACACCTGGGCAACTATGTCCTTGGCTGACAGCCATATTTTGTCCCCAGACAGTGCACTCCAGGATGATTAGTACTATTCTCTTGTACCCAACAGAATAAGAGATCCTTGTGAATTAATATGATTTCATATCTCCTCATCTAAAAGTAGAATCAGGAAGAGTACTCCTGACATAACCTGACTCCTGAAAAATTTACTTAGAGTATTTCAGATTGAAAAAAATTCAAACACATTGCATGAAAAGTGCATATATTTATGTATTTTGCAGATTTTTTTCTGCTTTTCTAAGACTGTCTAATGATAATTACAGCTAACACTTCAGATAAAGCCTTATTTTCAATGTACTTTCAATATGCAGGATTTCATAGTGTTGACCCTAACAATCATAATGTGATTGAAATAATCACACACAATGAGAAGAATGGCACCTGTCACACAGACACAAATGTATGTGCTTTCAGTGAGCACAAAAATTACAGGTCCTCAAATAGTACTGAGCTAAATTGCTTCTCCATCTTATTGCTGCGATGGAAGCATTCTTGCAATTTAAAAAATACTGGTAATTTGTAGTGCAGACCTCTCAATTAAATGAGACACGCTTGTAAGGTAGCATTATAAGAGCACAGATGGGAAGGTGGCATATTCCTGGACAGGATTTCTCCTGCTCCCAGGTGCCTGTGACAGAGCACTCAGCAGGTCACACATGCAGAGCAGGTCTGTCCCTGCCAAGTGCCCACAGGACAGAGCATTTCATGGGACTGTGAGGGCAGCACAGCAGAGAAGCGGAGAGGAGACTACCCAAGTGGACTGCATGTTCAATACGCGCGTTTTTACAAACCTGTGAAGAACCACAGAATTTTCCCTTCTAAAACAGTAATTAAAAGAGTTAATCCCTTATATCAGAAATCCGCACTCCAGAGCAGGCACAGTACCTACTACACCCATTTGCAACTCTCCTGAGCACTACCCTAAGGACTTCAGCAGTTGTGAACACATTTTGTACATAAATGTCACTGTTGCAATTTGTGCGTGTCAGTTCTTCACATGGGGACACTCCCAATTTGAAAACGAAAATATGGACAAAAATCTGCTCTCCAACGCTAAGTACTAGTTCAAAACTAGAATCTCAAGTGGTAGCGGCACTGGAACGGGATGTGCATTTCCGTAGGAAAGGCTGAAACACCATCTAGTGCCTACGACAGGCATTGCTGAAGTTCTGTTCAAATCAACTTCTCAAGTGTGAAAATAGCTGCACTAAATATATCTAGCCTGACATTTTCCCATCAATGCTTATATCCATTTTTTTAAAAGATAAATTTCTTTTCTTTTATACAACACTGTAAAGAAGTATTCCGAATTTGGATTAGACAGTTTACTTTAAATCTTCCTTCTGCTTTCCATTCACAAAGGTTAGCTCCATACAGGGAACAAACAAATTCTATCTCATTTTCTATTTCTTCACTATTTTTTACAAGATTACTCATAATATGCTCCCACTTCTGCTAATAGCTTTCATCATATAATATTAACACTTTTTTTACATAGGCCCATAAAACAAATTCTGCAAAACCTACAATAATCAGTCATTTCACATCTACACATCAGAAATAATTAATACACAAAAAAATCTCTTCCTTGCCTTGTCCTAAATAAGACATTATAATTTTTTGCTATTAGCTAAAATTTTTCAAAACACATTTCATACACCACTTTAAATCCAATAAAATGGAAAATATATTCATCAAGAAATTACATCTGCAGATATTTCAAGAAAAAAAAAATTAATAAAAAGGATATAATACGACAATCATTTTAGATAATGTGAAAAGGCAGCTACCTTACAAAAGACCATTCACTGTTCCCCTAAGTAGAGTGATAGATGGCCTATCACTAACTTCTAAGAATAAAATGGAAATATTACTTTATTTAAGATTAGATTAAAAGGCACAGTATATTTTATATATCTGATTACACATCAGTTTGAGTTTGTTAGTTTAGACACTACAACCTAAGGAATAATTACACCAAATCCTCATTAGCCTTCAGAACACTAATCAGGTGTGCTGAGATGAAAAATTACACTAGAAGGCTTCTCTAGTATTGTTGTTTTACCAAATCTATTAGAGTTCACCTGCTTGCCAACAACATCTAATATATTAGCATTATATTAACTGTTGTGCTTGCTGGGAGTATTCTTAAGCAAATTTCACATGATTTAAATATATATGTCTTTTTGTGTGGTTTTTTGGTTCTCATATTTTATGCAGCATACACTTCCTTAAACATTATACAAGGTAACAAGAATGTAACATTGAAAGGAAAGAGGAGACAAATGGAAGAGTAGGAAAACCCTTTGCTTGGATCCAGCATCAGGGCAAATAATAAAGATTACTAACACACTGCTCCTAGTCCTGTTTTGGGTGTTTTGGTTTTTTTTCCAATCTGCTCCAGGTGCAAAACAACTTTATTACATCATGGAGCAATGTTTGAAGTCGTGCTGTACCAACGAAATTTCTTCAAGGATGGAGTACATCTCTCCATTAGTCACTATGTCGCTTGGAGCAGACACTGCAGAACCAGCGCTGGCACCCAGGAACGTGAGTCAGCTTCCTCTGTGCAGCCACAGAGATTACAATTATATAGCATATCTATGCATCTTTAGCTAATATAGTCCTACTATCAGTGGGGGCCAATGGTATATATGCCTTACCTCTAGTCCCAATTTCTGCTGATCTTTCCCCATTTTGCCCATTTGAAATATAATGGTGTTTCCAAAGAACTATAAATTTAATAAGTGAGTGTCTTGATTCTGAGACTGTGAGATTCACTTTGAACATTATCTCCCCAGAAAATGAGATGGAACTGCTTTTCTGGTTATTGGTTTGTTTCAGAATACATTAAAATCTGCCAAAGCACTTAGTTTTCCCTGTCACAAGTTAAACTTTTTAGTACTCTTCTTAATATTTAGAATTCAAAGCTCCTTGAACTAGAATAGAAATTGCTTGGAGTTAGTTAAAACATAAAATTTTATCTATTTGGTTATATTGCCACCAAAACATGGCTCATATTTGTCCTAAAAAACCAATAATTCCATTTTGCTCCCGCCGTCTGAAGTCTATGTTGTCTCTTACAGCCAAAAGTACTGATTTCCACTACTGATGAGGGAA